CTGGCTCCCGGCTTTATGTTGTATATCTTATTTTTCTATTCAACTATTATTTTAGCCAATTTTGGTCAATTTTGCATAACAGCCCCCAAGCCTAGAGTTTATCTGTGCATTTTTGTACCCTAACCAATATTTGTGTAGGGTATCATGAAATTTTCAATACACATAAGAGAATAAAAGCGTGTTGAAATATTATATATAATGAATAATTTTATTTTTATTTTTCAAAATCATTATTTAAGTAAGATTAGAAATATAATTCATTTTAATTCTATATAGTCTGCTAACCTTTTGCAACCTCAACTATAAAACATAAATCATCTTTACCATTACAGGGTATCTCTCAGTTTCTTTGATACTTGGGCGTTTTTGCCATATAAGTATTTGTCTTGAAATCTACAGCGAAAAACACTTAGCCCCGTTAACATGGCTGGCCATTAAAATAAATTATTTAATTTTATTATTGCAGATAAAGCTGCAAAATTACGCGAAAAAAATGCAAAAGATTTGACAGACAGTCGAGTTTAAAACGCAGCGATTTAGGCGATTTTAAAAATATTACCCAATAGCTGGAATAGACTTGAGAATATGATAATTATACAATTCAATTAAATAGGTGTTATTTTAAGCAAACGAAAGAATCAGAAAATTAGTAATATTGCCCCAAAGCCGGACAGCGATTCACAGCGAATTGTTGCGCATGCGCTCTAAACAAATTTGCATACAAATCTATAAATATCTACATGTGTGTGTGTGTGTGTGTGTGTGTGTGTGTGTGTGTGTGTGAGTATGTGTGTCTGCATGTGTATTCGTTTCTATCATCTATCTGCATTGCTATGTTTATTTAGCAAATCGATGGGCGTTGCACGAAATGTGTCAGCGGCAATTGGAGTTGCCACAAGCGCTGCAAATTGTCTTTAATTTGTGCACATTGTGCAGAAAGATCATAATGCTGACGTCATTATGCATATAGATACACTTACATATATATATTTATATATGTATATACGTGTACATTTATGTATAGTTGTATCTGATCTGTTGTCATGCCCATGATTTTCATGAGCAAGTCACAATCGTCAGGCAAAGAGCCAATGCAAATATGTCGAGAAAACGGCCAATACCAGAGGCCAAACGGTTTGACGGCTAGGCAAACAATTTAAATGCAAATCACGTGTTTCTATGACTGTCCATTAAGTTTAAAGAGTTTCTTAGCTTGCTGATTGACTATTTATAAAATGCAATTAATGATTCATATTTGCAGTATATAAACAAGAAAATCAGACTAAATGCATTAGCGTAAATTTGTATACAAAAATTATTTTTAAGTTTAATACTCGATATCCATATTTCTCTCAAATACAAATTTATCAATACCCTTTATACTATACATAGCTGTCTCTAAAAAGTCGATTAACTGAAATTGAGAATGTAAAATCAAATTTTGTATTGTCTAATTAACGCCCAAACTTATTCTGATGATTCTAGATTCTTCTATTTCATTTTGTTTATTCATCTGAAAATAAGCTTAATAGAAAATAACTGTCATAGCGAACGAGTATGGCACAGCTGGTTATGCTCGCCTACAACATTCCCCACTTGTTTTTCTTAATGCATTCGATCGATTGGCGATCGAAGCGGTTACAGTTGTCTTCAATCTCGGTGAACTTGAACTGGAAAGGCGCTTGGGAATGCAAATGGAAATGAAACAGTGAAATACTGAAATATTCAAATGATCTTCAATGAGAATTGAATGCTATTGTCGAATGTGGGGAAATAGGTGAAAAATAGAAAATGATGCAATAACACACAGATGTAATAGTGATTGAAAGGCTGTCACAATTGTTTTTAAAAACACTTAAGGAAAGCGTTTCCTGTACAGCCTCCAATTACAATTGATCGGCTTTCTATCAAAGTTGTGATTACAGTTGCATTTGAAGTGTCAGGTAATTGAACACCTCCCAAATGCAGCTCGAGTCATTAGCGGTCGACGAATTGAAAGACTTGTCAAACAACTCTTGATTCTAGTGTTGTTTAAAGAAAAAAAATATTTTTTTCTTAAATATTTATTTCGTGTTTGTGAAGCTGTGAATACTCTGGCTAATCATTTCGCAGAGGTGTGAAAAGTGACGCCTTCTTGTCACGTGGATTATGCTAATACAGATACCTTATCATGCCCAATTATGTAGACAGTCGTCTCAGCAGATCAGATACTACAAGTGTATATATACACATAGAGGCGCACACACACAAATATATTCTAAGGTCAAGTTTAAGTCTAAACAAATAGCAGCTGCCTGTATTAAATTTAACAAACAGTTGTTGCTAATAAATTTTGCCTAAATATGAAACGAAAGAGAAACTGTGAACAACGAAAGCGAAATACTCTTTATATATTGTATATGCATATTCATTTTAGATGATTTCGCTGAATACTCAATAATTTAAAAATTGCTCATCATTGGATCTGTTAATGCTTATCTACATAAATCTACATATGTATATTAGCTAAATGATATGTTTATTCTATTTAGTCAATAGTATATATTTCAATTTCCACACGGTAAAAAGCATATATGTGATATATATGTATATTATTCTCTTTATTCCTAGAGCATCTCACTATAATATAATACTCCACTCGAAGGGTTTATAGACTGTGGTGTTCCCCCTATGTTAATTCTCATATGTTTATGCTGTCGTCATCGCTGCGACGCCACGAAATTTACATATGCATAGATCAGCAGACATAAACACATATGCACACACACACACACATGTGTATATAGAAGCAAATATGTATATATACATGTGTCGTTATATCTGTTTCTATATCTAAATTTTGTTTACAGTTCAAAGCACTCGCGGCCGCAGGGTCAATGTAAAACTGAGTGGACCATGTCCATGTTTCAGTTACGTTTCCCAACTCGGCCTGTGTAACATTAAAAGCTCTATAGATATATCATTTTATTTTTACTATGGAGGGGTGGGCGTGTCAATAAACACCAACTGACACGATAAATTATCGCTGTGTATTGCTGTGCTATCTAATTGCGATTTGAATGCGTTGTTAAATTTAGTTGATTTAGCTGTTGCTCGATATTTTATTTGCTTTTAATTCAGATATATGTATGTAGGCACACATACACACGTATGTTTATGCGGGTGCTATGAGCCATAAAAACTTTTCTATTTCTAAGGGAATTTCAGACAGATGTATCCAAGGTTATCGACAGGTTTGCGTCTTTGCATTATCAAAGAAGAACATTTATTTGGATTAGGCGGCGACATTGTCCAAAGACAAGTTCAAGGCTAAGTGACTCAACTATGCCACAGCGTTGCAACTGAGCTTAGTCGACTGTCTAATACTCGCTTGGAAGTAATTCAGAGCCTTAAATTGTAAGCTCACTCAAAAGAAAGTTATATAGAAGAAAAAAAAATACGAAAATACTTTATCTTTAGCCATATTTCTTCACTTCTATATATTTAACTTCGAACCTCCCTTTGGCAATTTGTAAGCGAGTATTAAGACTCTTTAGTGGCTGAGAAGACATTAATGTTTTTTATTTCAGGCGCATGGCCCTTATGCGATTTGATTTTAAAAGCCCAGATCAAGTTATTTATTGCGGTTTGTTTATCGTCGAGTTCCAAGAAACAAATTTGTATCTAAAGCAAAGAGCGCTCAGAAGGCAGTCAAAGTGGAAGTTGCTGCAAAATGAATCTTCATTGTCTTCTGATCTCAGCTCTTTTCGCTCGAAACGTGTTCAAGATACATGCGGAACGATCCTTAAAGATCTTTTTGCCAGTCCGGATGACATCAGCAGTTGCCCCAAATTGCTTGACACTGGATGTTGCAGTAAGTCTTTTTTTCGCTTTTTGGTTTTTATGGCATTTTGTGAGACGTGCCTCAAGTTGCAGTTGTATTTGCATTTCTTGAATGTCTCTTTCTTGGGTGTGTGTGTGATAGGCGTAAGTACTTGAGATTTGACATTGCATCAATCGCTCTCAGTTCGATGGGAAATCTACTCAATGCAACTGTCTGGCGTATAAATTTATGACAGTTTTATTTACTGAATTGAATATTAATTGAAATACGCATAAGGTTATTTAGCATCCGCCAGTTTGCCCTAAATGGAAGACAACTTGTCAACAACCACAGCCGCGAAACTACTTAGCGTTTTGTTTTGATTCGTTTAAGGCAATTTATATAGTATACCGAGAATCTTTAACCATATTGATTTCACAAATTCATAATCAGATTATGTAAATATGGAAATCACTTGAGAAGTGTGCTAACAGATATTCACTGCCTAGGTGAATAGAAATATAGATATGGTACCAAATCGATGTACTCAAAATATTTCATTTCATTTCGTTTATGAGCTTAGATAGCGATAGTGTTGAATCAGTAAAATGCTGATTGATGGATCGATGATTAACGAAATCCAAACAGTCGCTGACAATTTACTCCACGAAAGTGAAAACTAAGATTACGCCTTGGAAATTTGGATTTGAAAGTTGTTGAAAATGCAGTTCCTAAGATCAGTTAAGGCAAAAGCTGACTCATGCAATTATTACAGAAGTAATAAAGCTAAAAGTTACAGCTGAATAGCTGAATTCAATTTCCATTATACAAACTCAATAACAGTCATAATCTAATATAGATTTTTTCTTTTTCTGTGTATTGATCTGATAATTTATATATGTATGTTTGCATATGGAGGCAACTTGTCCCTACTCAAGCCCTAGAAGATGTTCAGCCAGAGTGGGCGAAGCCGCGTAATAACCGGCTTGTGTGTAACTGAACGATAGCAAACCAGTTGAGCAGTTGACTACAACAACAACCGAATATGTAGCTGCAGTTGTAGCTGAAGGCGATATCATATAGTTAATTGAGTGTCGGCCACAAATTGATGCCACTTGGTTTAATGAACCGCCCCATTGACGCTGATAATTGGTCGACATAAAAATGGATATGCACTTAATGCTATGTTTCAATTTACCTGGACTTTCCACGCCCATTATGGCATCGGAATCCTCTGTGGGGTCCGCATGTGTGCATGTGTTTATAGTAAATAGTAGATTATAATATTTAACTATGATGTCAGATCTGATCTGCCTGAGTCAGTGCAGTTCAGGTAAACAGACTTGCATCGTAATTGTCTATTTCTAGGCAGCAGCAAATGTTTGCCAGAATTGCAAGAGATTAAAAATAAATGAAATAATTTATGCATGCTAAGCTCATTCGGTTGACTAATGCTGGCAGCTTGAATGATTCGCTAAAGCATTCATATAAATCAAATAAAATCCACATCTTGTGTCACTGTGCAGCAGCAAAAACTAAAGAAGAACAATTTGTCTGCTATGCAATTTTCATAGTTTTCACATATTTCAAAGTCAAAATAAGCTGCAAACATCTCTTGTTCTGATAATTTTCAAAAAGAATTTTGTATTTTTGTGTGCCGAGGTGCCGTATGAGCTAATGGCAAAATTTGCAATTAACAATCAGCTAGAATGGCTTTTATGTGTATGTATGTAAATTTGTCTTGTATATGCACATATGTAAATGTGCATGATGCAAGAGTTCATTCACAAACCAAGCGACTGGATAGCGAGTCTTAGTGATGTATGTGCACATGTACATATACATATGAATTGATCTATAAATAAACCTAGAGCAGGTATGACTAAGAAGTGCCATTGTTTCGACGGGCTTTCCAAATGGGCTATTTATGAAAGTGAAATAACTCAAGAAATTATTTTTCAATTCTAAAATTAGAAAAAAAAAACAAGAAGTAAGGAAAACAAAATGCAGAAATATTTAAAAACAATTAAATTAAATTTCTAAGGCAATAATTTTTTAAGCCAGCATATTTTTTATAAATAACTTTCAGTATTATAAGGAAAAGTCTTTTTTCAGGCTATTATTGATTTATAAAAATTTCCTTTGCATTTGCAAAAATATAGTGTATTAAAATATACTTATATTAATCATATGTTATATTTCAAAGGAAATTTTCAAAACAGATTATCACAAAAATTAAAATATATTCAATTTACAGAATTATTTAAAATGAGGTCTTATTAAAAAATCTTTATTATCCCATTAAAAATATAAAATAAATAAAAGACCAAAAATGTGGTAAAACCGTAAAGATTCAAGCAATTGAATTCATAAATGCAAAAGAACCCATAAACATGATTTGATTACAGATTGAGAGAGTGCATTCGGCCCAAGCGATAGACCATAAATTAACGGATAATTGACTTTAAAATATGGCACAAGTTGGGCAAGTGCTAAATTTCAATAGCATTTTGGTCTTAGCACCTCAATCGAATGCAGTGTGGGTAATAAATATCTATATAGGTGTTCTTATATATGCATATAGTGGAAGATCGATAGATTTACGAGGCACTCACCTTCGTTCACGTAACCGCCCTCCATGGTGCCGAATGTGTACACCTCGTTGCGGCTGCCGCTCCGTTTGCCTTTGAACACCTTGGCCACGACCTACGCCTATGCGGACACACGAAGAGGGGGCAACAGTTGGGGCGGGAGCCTCGCGGTCTGGTATCTGCAGCTGACTTCTGGGCGATGCACTCGACACCTCTCGTATTTCGAATATGTTTTCCTTATGCTCTCGAGCTACTTATGAGAATGTATGGCACAGCGCTCCCAAGATACGACTAATAATAATAATAGTATTGTTGCTTAGCACTTGGATATCGAATTGAGCAGCATTTGTGGCATCATGTGGCACGTCTCACACTCTTTCTCTCTCTGTCTCTTTCTCTCGGTGATTTCCAGTTTTCAGTTGCCGTTGCTTCGTCCCACTGTGCAGCAGAACTTATCTGGCAATTGTATCTGCTGCTCCTCTACAGCTAATACTTCTCAGTGTGTGCGTGTGTGTGTGTTTGGCTTTTCCAATGAATTTGCATGTGGCGCGATTTGGCTTTTCTAATACTTGCTGTTGTTGCTGGTGCTGCAAAGTAAATGGAAGAGGTGCCACATAAATAAACATGCAACATCAAATTGGCTTTTGATAAATGTTGAACCCCAAGTCTGACCCGAATGTAGCCCCAACAGAAGAAGAAGAAGAACCAGATGAGGAACGAAAGAATAACATATGCACATTCACCGCGAATCAAGAGGGCAGGGCAGGGCCGGTCCGGGTCTCGACGAGATGAACTCTCAGATTTCAAGGCGCTGTCACTGCAGAAATGCTGTCTGTGTGTGAGTATAAATACATGTGTGTGTGCGATTGTATTTGTGTATCTTTCTGCAGATGCTGTGGCCCATTGCCTGTTCTAATTTTGGATAAGCTTGGTGAAAAGACGCCTTGACATTTGTTTGACTTTGCGAAATTTGCGGCTGCATTTTTAATGAGAAACGACGCGAGACCAGCAGCAACATGCCGCATGTCTCATGCCGCATGCCCCCATGCATAGCTGAAATCTTTGGAACGACCAACAATGTGGGGCAGATTCGTGTCAATGTAGCTCCAACTAGCCGAACTTCTATCTACATGTTGATAAATGCATTTTATCTAAATAAATGAAGCCATTAATATTGACTGACTGACTGGCTGACTGAGTGAGTGAACGTGTAAATGTGAATGATTGACTGACTGACTGACTGACTGGTAAACAGAATAATTGATTGCTTAGTTGACTGAATGGTAGATTGATGAATTGATTGACAATTAAATGATTGACTGACTGATTGATTAAGTAATCCACTGATGGAGTATTTGATTGACCGAATGCCTGCACTGCTGATTGACTGGCTGATTGATTGAGTGCTCCACTGATGGAGTATTTGATTGACCGAATGCCTACCCTGCTGATTGACTGCCTGATTGATGATGTGACTCACTCATTTATCTATTTTTGATATATCCATCAGTTAGGCCGAACAACGCCGGATACCCGCAATTCATATGAATAATTTCCAACCAACTTTGGACCATCATAATGGACCATTAGACCTATTCGAGGTAAAATCAGACTCAAGCATAACCGCTTGCTTGACTTCTTGGAATTTTCACGCCAGGTAACATTGCTTTCGTTAATGTGGTTGCTGTTTGTTTTTTTCTACTATTAGTACATCAATTTTGTGGCACTGCGGCAAAGCGTTTTCCAACTTATTTGCAAACAACTGCTGATGTCACTCGGTCAATATTTGCCGCATAAATTGAAAACTAATTTGAGCTGCAAACAAACGAATAAGCGAATGAAATCGTTGCGCTTGTTTGTGTTTTACTTTTGAATTGTTTGTTTTCATTGGTTGTTTTCCCCTCTTTTCTCAAGTTCAGTTTCCATGCAGCAAGTTCAATGTCAAATTTGCAACCCATACACAACATATAAACACTGTGAATTATGATAATGTCTCGCAGCATAGATCATACCTAGACCGACGCTGCTTAGTATTAATGTGGAACTAAAACCAAACCGAACCGCACGCGCACAGAGTTCCGCAAGAACTGACCGGAAAAATGAAATCCGGAAACAGAAGCGCGATTCGAAGAGAAAGACATAAAAAAGAATCGAAATTGCTTTAACAAAAATCGCCGCATTTATGCATGGATATATATTGTAATAAAAATAGTGACAGTGATGGTCGACTATATGCGACTACTACATACTCGCCTACATTTTCATAATTGCTTTATATTTTGTAATGAAACACTGAAAGATATCGGAAGTCCTTGGTAAAGGTTTGCCACTATCTATCCTACTACTACTAATACTTCGACTATTTCATTCTATATATCCTATAGTCTACATTAAAAATACAGAAACTTATATTGATGGTATACGGAATTATATAGAGAGTTGTAGTTCAGATATATTCCGTTAAAGAATATATTTCATCCGATTGCCCTTGGCTGCCATCGAAAATGGTCATCTATAGCATAACAACCCATATACTCCTCTTCAGCTAGTGAGCGGGTATTACATCACATAAAAGAGAAGAGCTCGAGAGAGTAACAATTGTCAAAGAGACCCATCAAATGGATTCGGACCGGCGTTGACAGCAAGCAGGCGACTCATCAATGGATTCATACTTGACATTCGCTTTCGGACGGCGCTCAAGAACCAAGAGACAGCAGCCCGAAGGCCTGCCGCCACACTCTCCGCCCATTAGTCTAATGCCAAATAAGAAGCTCGTAATACTGTCAATTCTTTCATTCATTTTTGGGCAGTTGTTCAATTTGATCGGCGGCAGGCGAAACGAATTTTAATTGATGCGGCAGACCGCAGACGTCACTCAGTCGACGGATTGCCCCCGGGCGATAAATACATACATATATATTACATGGGACAGTTGTGTCGCATAATTAAAGAGGCACTTGATTAATAATCGTTGAACCCCATTGTGACCCGCAGGCCGGGCCACGCCTTCTAATTTACTAGCACTAACCACTTTTATGCTCCCATTTATGTTAATTGTTATTATTTATTATTACTACGGTTGGTTGATTTGTTGTAACTATTAGCGCAGCATTATGCTTTAATAATGAATTGTAAAATCTGAGTCTGGCCTTCGCTTTAAAGTAACCCCTATGCTTCGGCTGGGGCATTCAATTCAATTAATTTGATCAATTATTATCTGTTTTTTATATTCTTTTAATTCTTTTCAGTATTTATGAGTGTAAATATTTGAAGTTAAGGACGGTCTACTGCGCATGCCTGGCTGCCTAATTCAATCCCAGTGCCATCAATCAAAGCTACAAATTGCCATCAAGGAAAGGGTATATGCAGCTGCCTAGCTCTCTCTCTCTCTCTTTCTCTCCCTCTCACTTGCCTGTGTTTGTTTTGCTTTGAGCATCGCTTTAATTGCCAACACAAGTTTGTAATTATGTAATTGTCATCGTTGTCTCCGCTGTTAAATTCCCGCTGCCTTGAGAGTGTCACATTGTCGCTTCGACCATGACAAGGGTTTTCGGTGCCCCAGCGCCAACTTGGCTGCCCCAGTGACAAACAAGAAATAACTGAAGATTGGGCTTAGAAAAAGAGTCAAGTGTTTAGTTCAAAATGAGTGGAAGGAAGTTAGAATAAACAACAACAATGGATTGGACAGTAATCTTCAGTCTACTCAAATGGCACAGAAACAAATGCACTTTGTCTTCAACAACCTAACACAAATATGCTTAAAATATTTATGAGAGATTTGACCATAGAGATAAGCTCACCTTACAGACAACAACTATTCCATTTGTTAACAGATAGTAAACAAAAGTAAAAGTTTGGCTGGCATTTGTCATTGTATGATTTGAGTCATTCAGAATGTCTTAGGTTTACAAGGAACAGTGGGCCAAATATATGAAAAATAGGCTTAAACTATGCAACTTAAGCAGTTAAGTGGTTGGTAAGCTGGTACTTCATTTCAAGAGAATTAGAAAGAGAGTATTTTCGATTGTGTTATAGAGTAGCCTCTGCTGCTGCCCATTGAGAATTCTCTTAATAGAATCTAACTGCTGTATGTAAATATCGAATCAAACTTAAATTGAATTCAATGACATTACAGAATGAAAATTGTGAGAGCATGAAATTTCGATGAAGGGCAAAATGATTAAGAGAATCATGAAGAAATATCACACCTCCAATTGCAAATAATAGGCTCTTCTCAGATTTAAGACAACTCGCCAAAGTAAGTATTATTTCCGCTCAACAACTCTTCCAGCTATTTTCAAAGGTCACTCAGAGACTCCTCCAACAGCTAAGAAATCATACTTAAGTCATAAATATGGTTTTTCAACGCACTCAAATTTTCGTGTTTAGTAACAAATTATGCATTTTATTTATTGGTCAAACCGCTTGACAAACATTTAATAATGTATCTTTGTTAATGGCACTTTGTAATTAGTCAGTTTATCACTGTGCTGCGACCTGTTCACGCTGACTGCAGCAGCTGACATTACGTATACGTAAGCGTATATTCATATATTATGTATACGCAGATGCAAGCTTGAACGCCGGTCATTAGCCAGCTCCAGCTCGCAGCCATAAAACCAATTGAGTGTCAGTTCAGCAGGCCCAACAAAACAATAGAACTCTGGCGAGCTTGTGTGCAGTAGCTGTATATACATATACATATACATACACATTTATTGTATATATCGCAGTCAAAATTAATAGCGCCCGTTTTTTCTCTTTGTTGCTGTTGGTTTCTGGTTTTGTCAATCGGCGACGACGACGTCATCGTTGGCTGTCAGCTACTGTTCACCGACAATTTAATATATAATATATAGTCAGCAAAGAGATAAAACAACATGGTTTATTTTCGCTTTTTGTTCTCTACCGAAATAAAAAAGCACAAAAATCATAAATCTATTGAAAGTAAATAGCAAAAAGTGGGTCAGCTTTTGGAATAAGACGAAAAGCACTTGAGGTAGTAGTATGAATATATATACGTATCTCTATAAAAAAAAAAACACATCAATCATAATAATGTGTGAATAGCAGCCAAAAACAGCTCAACTTGTACTGAAGTACAAAATGTTATAGACTCTAATATTGTCAGACCAAGTAGCTCGTGGCGTATGCCTAATTCTTACTCGTGAATTCTACACACAAAATAAAATACATAATTATGTGTAGCTGACTCAACAGCCAAATTCAGCGCACTTCTTGTCGGCAAAAATGTTTAGTATAAACTGAATATAATAAAGGCATAGGGCAATAAAAACGAGAGTCTAGAGAGCAAAGACGACTGCATAATACTCGCTCAAGGGCGAACAGAGTTAATGTGTTGTCTCTTTAGAGGAGGCCAAGGATAAGCCATTTGCAAAAGTTTATGATTGTTCATCTAAATTTGAAGAAGATTCTGCAATGTTCCATCTCTCGATATTAATCTAGAATATATACAACTCTAAATGTAGAACTGAGATGAGAATTTTATTTATTTATTTTTATTGCCAAGTCTCTGGCTTCAGTTATTATATACAACTAATATACCCACTTTCACTAACTGAAGGGG